TCCTGTTTAAAATTTCAAAGTTATCCCCCACCTCCCACAAGGATGGGAGAGAGGGACTAATTTTAGCACTAATGTATTTCCTCCGTGGAATAATTACATTTTATGGACATTTTTTCATAGAGTGCTTATTTTTCGAGATATTTGAAAGTTTCAGATTAAAAAACTCACCCGGTATAAAAATAAGAAAAAACTCTAAATAAATGTTGTCTTAGTAAAAGAAACTTATTTAATACTCTTGGAATGACCACGATATCTTTAGGATATACTTAAAATTCCTTAAAAAATTAAACAGACGGTTTTAGACCAGGAATATCACTATATTTTTATCCGAAGATTTAACATTTTTTTAAAGATCTTTTTGATATTTTACATAATGAATGTTAATAAAACTGCAAAATAACTTCAAAGGGTTCTGGTAGCAATCTGTTTTTGTCATCAGTTCACTGGTCCGACATTAACGGAAAAGTACTCGCTATCTTTGCATTTTGTGTACATTTCATAGATAGTAGATATATATTGATTCACTTCACAAGCATTGTTGGGATACAGAGATCTATAATGGTGAGTGCCGATATACACAGGGTGTTTATTAAACATACGGCAAAAATTCAAGGCGTTATTCCCTGGACTATTCTAAGAATATTTAATCCTTTGATGATTTTTGAAAAGCTGCTATGTTCCGAAAGTACAGGACGAGAAAAATTTTCGATAGTAACAACATATTACTGAAAATTACATGTAAACCCACTAAACACGAAACGTAAATGAAACGTTGCAAATGAGCTGTTTACTACACATTTGAAACAATAACTAGAAACGTTGCTGTTTCATTACAGAAATGTAGCACTTGAAAACTTACTTAGTGAAATATAGCTGAAACATTCCAATTGAAGAGAGTTTGAAACATTACTCGAAACATTCCCTTTCGATCTCGGAAACGTAACAACGACAAACAAACAACCCTTTGCTTTTGTTTATCTTATGGAACTTCCATTCGGCATTACTTAAATTTTGCTCTCAAGCCCCATCATTATAGCAAGCGTTAGTTCATTTGCCTTTGTTATATGTACAACCAGACATAAACAGAAAAAAAATTGTGGTAGCATATTTATAACACAAGTCTAGAAAAAATTTATGTTCGTGACTTGCTCAGACCGCGCGTAACAGCCCGAATTTATTTATTTCTCGTGTGCCGTTTTCAATTCGTATTTTGTTAGGTGTTAGGTTAGGTTTGCGGTTTGCCTTTACCCGTTTTCCTGGCTTCGTTGTTCTTCATCGTTACCAGGGAGAATAGTCCCCATGATCGTTACTTTGATGCTATTTTATGTGATAATTTATAGTGTGTGCAGTTGTGGTTATTGTAAGGTGCATATAAAATAATGAATATTGATGCAAAATGTTTAAAACGATATGTGTAGAGATTTCGAATTTTGCGTCACATCTACCTAAACATAGTTATTATACCCACTACCTAATACCTATGAAAGACAAGAGGACAAAAACTAAAAAAAATGTAAAATGGAACTATACGTTTCGGAGAACTATTTGAAATACGGAAGAATCAAGTGAAATATATGTCATTTATTTTATATTTTGAAGAAATGTTTATATTTGTATACGTGTATAGGAATGCTTAAATAAAAAGTTTAAGTATACCTACAAATATTTATTTTTTCAAGATATCCTTTTGTATCTTATTTATTTCTACTGTAATATTTATTACAAAAAGGTTAGATGTAATATTGACTATGCGTAGAAGAAATTGTAACTTTATATTATTTTTCAGTAATGTTATTTGTTTTTCATGTACCTACCATTCAAGATTCATTATTATAACTAATTAATTATCATTTCGTCATTGTTACCATATTCATGATGGTCTCAACATTAGAAAATTTCCATTTCAGAAGCGTATTTGAACAATATAAAATGATGTGTAGCTTTTTTAAAATGTTTCTGATATTGTTTTGTGACATTTTTATTTGTACGATGAATGGTAGAATCCGTAATCCATATTAGAAACTTGTTCAGTGGCTTCTCAAAAAGAAAAAAATTCTTGATAAAAGTTGCTGCATCCCCAAACTAGAAGAGCAGTTATTTTTTTTAATATACAATAACATTTTTCAGTTAAATTTTTTGAGAAATCAGAAAAAATTGTCTGGATTGCGAATTAAGTCATTCACAATACAAATAAAAATATTACAAAAGAGTATTAGAAATATTTTAAAAATTACTCTCACTGTTTATACTGTTTCAAAAACGCTTCTGAAATGGAAATTATCTAAAGTTGAGAGCATTATGAGAACAATATGGTATAAAAATTATTATGTTACTCAAACATTTCTGAAAATATACTGAAACGTAAAACAAAAATATCGAGTGCATAAATGGAACATCAAAAGAATGTTACTGAAACCAATTTTTTGAAACGTTTCATTGGAAACGTATTTTGGGGAAGACATCTTCGGTTTCTATTGGGTTACCAGAACGTTGCATGGATTTTTTATGAAACGTTTCAAGAAAAATGGAAACGTTTCTGGAACATGTCAGAAACTGAAAAATGTTTAGTGGGAAGTTTCTTAATCTACAGGAATCTTCTTACAGCTGTTTTACATTGACAATTTATTGATCAATTAATTGATGAAGCCGCTTCATCAAGAAATTGGACAAGTGTAATGCACCAAATCTACTGTCAAATAACTTGATGAATTTATTCATCAAGTTCTTGACGAATTAGAGCATGTTCTAATTTTCGTCAATTTCTTCGTGAAGTTCGGAAGTACCAACCCAACAGATTTCCAGCCTCAGATCAGTAATGAGGTTATGCTATTGGAATATGTAAATAATTGTGTGGCGTCGTGCTAGTTTTGCATTGTTTTTACCGATTTGTTACTTACAAAAACTAATATTTATATAATATGTGTCAGAACGGTACCGCTGTTGTATTACTACAATTAATTATGAGTGGAAAGGTGACATTTTTGAAATTTATTTGCTTCTTTGATTCATTGTTATAACTGATTTATACGTCAAAAAACTTGACAAAGTCTGTAGCAGTAACCACACTGTTTACCAATAAATTCGTGAATTAATTCATGAAGAACTTTGTCAATTTATTGATGAATAAATTGTCAATGTAAAACAGCTATTATTGGCTGCCGAACTTTTTAAAAAACCCAGGGAAGTTTCTTATTGAATTACACCCAACAATTATCTGATTTCTTAAATCTTCCATATTTTCCACTGAAGTATTATAAACTAATGACTTTAGATGGACCCATAGAAAATAATCCAGGAGGTTTAAGTCTGGGGATCGAGCAAGCCGTAAGTGAGGTCCACCTTGATCAATCCAGCAATCTTCGTATGTTACTGTTAATTATTCACAATAAAATCGTGCATAAACCACATTACATTTCTTGTTGCCAATGGTACATCATCCAGAAACTGAGGTAGCTATTGTTCAAAAATTGCGATACACCCGCCACACAGTGTGCCCATTTGGACAAAATTCTGCCGACAGTACAAGACTAAACCGATTTTCATGAAAATTTTTTTGCATGTTTGTTATACCTTGAATAATAGGTAAGATAAATTTAATTTGTGACCTTTTAACCTTGATAAAATTCGAATTCGTGGGACACCTAGCCTGTTGTGCATAAAATACGTTTGTAAAATAACTTCACAGACATTTTGGACCATACAATGCTTACGAAAAATTGTTCAAAGTTTTTCTCTGAGTTCTTATTATCTTTGTGACTTCAAGCCATATCACCAAGGTCATTTGAAGGTCAAATGCGTATTTTATAGGCTAAATACTGTATTTCATAAGATAATATTTGAATTTATCAAAAATTATTATGAAACGATATGAGTATCAGCTAGCTGCGACTCTACGTTCTTACTTCAGCATATATATTATTTATTAGGGTGGCCCAAAAAATTTTTTTTTCGTGTCTCTTGTGAAAATATGTTAGTTTATCATGTTTTAAAAGCCCACTCAAAAAATCAGCTAAAAAAAAATTTTTTTAGAGGTCGCTCAAGATTTTAAAAATTTCCAAAATTGTCAAAAATAGATTTTTTTTTTAAATTTTTTTCTTGTTTTATCATTTTCTAGGTTGAAAAAAATCTCGATCCTGAAAATTTCAAATCGATATTTTAATTTCTAAAGGTCGAGCGACCTCTAAAAATAAATATCAACGAACTAATTTTTTTTTTTTATTGAATTTGATGAACAAAAAAATAGAAATAAATTACAAGACACTTTATTTAAAATATAAGTAAATGATGAATCACGAGATGTATTCAAATGAAATCCACGTTCAAACAGGATTCTTTTCAAGAAAAAATGTATACTTGGTACACCCAATGTAGTACGCCATACTTTTAGTTCGACTACATTAATAATTTCAAAAATAAAAAAAATTCTCGCCCTGTATCTTCAGAACAGGGCTTTCAGGGCTTTTCAAAAATAATCAAAATACAAAACATTCTTAGAATAGTCCCAGAAATAACCCCTTGAATTTTTGCCATATGTTTAATAAAAATATGTATATCGAGATGAATGGCAACATTTAGATGTGTCCATTCTGCACATATTATAAAAAATATTGATAAATAAAGATAAAAATCGACATATTTTCCAAAAAAATCATCTGCCTTTTTTAGGTGACTGGAAAACTTTAAAAAAATAATAAAAACTTAAGTATATAATTTTTGTTTGTTAAAGTCATGGGCAATATTAAATTTGTTTAATTTTAAAAAAGTCAAAAAACATAAATAAAATTGTGAACTTAAAAGATATGACGAAGTGTAGCATAAAATAATTGATTTTCTTTATTATTTAGCTAAATGGTGTCAGTTTTGAGCCACCGTAAAATTACATTCGGGCGAAAAAAAATGTATAAAAAGTAGATATTAGAAACATTTATAAGTTTTGATTACACATATATTATATATTCATAATTACATAAAGGAAATTCATTTTTTTTTAACAGACTTACCTGAACTGATCCTTATTGGCTAATACTTCCTTGACCCACTCAATGAAAGTGTAGAGCCTCAAAATACCCGCATCAGCCATATTTTCTACAAAATTGGCATCTTCTATTGAATCACCTGCATCAGCAAGGCATAATCTCATACCGTCAGCACTGAATTTATCAATAGCTTCTGTAAGCGTTAAAAAATTTCCTTCCGATTTAGACATCTTTGCAGAATTCAAGAGGAGATGGCCATTAGCTCGAATGCTCCTAGGCCATTTGGTTTCATCATTTGGCCAAATCGCACAGTGGTTATAAATGAAAAATGTTAAATGATTTTGTATCAAATCTTTTCCTGATACGCGTAAATCCACTGGGTACCAAAATTCAAATTCTCTCTTCATGCGGTCAAGGGATTCCTTCTGAATACCACAATGGGTGGGATATTTTGCATCTTTGAAGAAAACATAATCCCACACCTCGGGAGTGAGTTGTTTCGCATTTATCCCTAAGGCATTAGGTTTGTCTCCCCTAAAAATAATATAGCAGGCAGTAATCAGAAATAATTCAATAACAATTAGAGTGGGAATAGTTTCTTTCAACTGGAAAGTATATAGAAATGTTTATTTCTTAAAAATATATATATATTTTTTTAAAGCTTTAAGGGGGCGATTTAATATGTATATTTTTACCGTGTAACAGAGCTTCAGATGAGGACACAAATCATTGAAGAAATTAACATAATTGAATATTATTATTGTTAGTGTGTGTATCACTTTATATTGTGTGTGTGTGTGTCTTTAGGTTTTTAAGGTGTACATAGTTTTTGTAGATATAGAAAAAGTGTGGTAGAGACAGAAAGAAAATCCACGCAGGATAGAATTTAAGCGGACAGTGATCGTTGTTAGATACATATTGTATAGAAGACTTGAAAGAATAAAGGTGTTGCAATCTCAGTTGTGATTTATTCGCTTCATATACATTACAGTGGCGACGAGGTGAAAGTATAGTTAAAATGAGCGCTATAGTGGAACAAATTCGCGAATTTTCCGCAAAAGACAGTGATTGGTCAGTGCACAAAGCCAGGCTTGAACAATATTTCATCGCAAATGAAATAAAAGACGAAAAAGTGCAAAAAGCAGCGCTGTTAAGTAGCCTTGATGAAGACGCGTACAAATTAGCAGCAGATTTATGCGTTCCGAATGTTCCCGAGCAAAAAACGTACAAAGAACTCGTTGAAAGTTTTGATAAGTATTTTATTAAACCAACATCCATTTATTTGGAACGTTACAAATTTTATCAAGCTTCTAAGAACGCGTATGAAACGGTAGCGCAGTGGGCAGCTAGAGTGAAGAATCTAGGAGCAAAGTGCAAATTTGGAAAAGATTGGGATCAAATCCTTACGGACAAGTTTATTTCTGGTTTTGAAAAGGGTGAAATTCTGGACAAATTTTTTGAACTGGAAGAAAGTGTTACGTTCGACAAAGCAATCCTCAAGGCCATGAAGAAGGAAGTCGGCGTCGGCAGCCATCATGGGTCCTCACAAAGGGTGAAAGCAGAGCCATCTACTTCCTTATTTCAAATAAGTGAAGGTCAACGAGGAGGAGGAAGAAGAGGAACGGCTGGTGTCAGTTGGCAGCAGCGGCAGGTCGGCTCACGCGGCGGTAGGTCAAATGGTACCCAAACCCAGATGCGATCGAGCAGGCGCAGCTTCTCTGAGGACAAGAATAAGGTCGCCGGTGACAGGAAAACAACTTGTGGAGTTTGTGGAAAATATGGACATCTTACAAAAAATTGTAGGTACAAAAATTATTCTTGTAATATTTGTAGTAAAAAAGGGCATTTGCAGTCAGTGTGCAATGTTAAATATAGGAATAATTATTTAGAAATGGGTAATGTTGATAGTGAGGTTAGGCAAATTAACCATGTAGTCAATGTTGACGAAGAGGATTTAAATATAGATTGTTTATTTAATTTAGAGGAAGAATGGGAAAGTAGGTTAATGATTAAAGTAGAAGTGGACAATATTCCTTTTCAATTTGAACTTGACACTGGTGCTAGCGTTAGTGTAATTTCAGAAAAGTTTAAAGAGCAATGGTTCAATAAATATGTTTTAGAGGATAGTAATAAGATTCTACATAATTATGTAGGGAAAGTTATCACACCACTTGGTTATATAACACTGCCAATTAAATATTTAGGGCAAATTAAATTAGTGGAAGTGTATGTTATTAAAAACGGTGGACCACCATTGCTTGGTAGGAATTTTTTTTATAAATTTGGATTAAATATTCAACAGGTTACAGAGGGTCAAACCATAGTGGGTACAACCAACTCAAAAATTGAAGTGAAAAATAAACCTGAGGTAGTAAATAAATTAGTTAAAAAATATAGTAACGTTTTTTCTTCTGATTTAGGCACATTCACTGGAGGCACCATACAGCTACACTTGGAGGAGAATGCCAAGCCTAAATTTTTTAAGGCTAGACCAATTCCGTATGGGATTAGAAAAAAAGTGGAAGCGGAGATTCAGAGGTTGGTCAAGGAAAACATTCTATATCCAGTGGACTATTCGGAATGGGGTACGCCAATAGTACCTGTTTGCAAAAAAGATGGTACCATGCGTATATGTGGTGATTACAAGGTAACATTGAATCCTGTTTTACTTATTGATCAGTACCCTTTGCCTCGTATAGAGGATTTGTTCAGTCAGTTACAAGGTGGACAACAGTTTACAAAACTAGATCTCTCTCAGGCATATCAACAAATTTTATTAGATGAAAATTCAAGTAAATATACTACTATAAGTACACATAAAGGGTTGTTTGCTTATAAACGTTTGCCTTATGGGTTAAGTTGTGCGCCAGCTAAGTACCAAAAAATAATTGAAAAAGTTTTACAAGGTATTGAGGGAGTAATATGTTTTCTGGACGACATTTTGATTACTGGAACTAATAGTAGTCAACATTTAGCTAGGGTTGAGCAAGTTTTAAATAAGCTACAGCAATTTGGGTTAACTATTGCCAAAGAAAAATGTGAATTTTTTAAGGATAGTGTTGTATACTTAGGGCATAAGATAGATAAAAATGGGTTACATACGTGTAAGGATAAGGTAGAAGCGATTAAACTTATACCATATCCGACAAATATTACTCAATTGCAATCATTTTTGGGACTTGTAAATTATTATAATAAATTTGTTCCTAATAGTTCAACTTTATTAGAACCTTTATATAGACTATTAAAGAAGGGGGTTACATGGAATTGGGATAATAATTGTAAAAGGAGTTTTAATCAGATTAAAGAAATATTAGCTTCAGATATAGTGTTAGCACATTTTGATCCAGATTTACCAATAAAATTAACTGTGGACGCTTCATCGTATGGAGTGGGTTGTGTTCTATCCCATATGTATCCTAATGGCGATGAAAGGCCAATAGCATATGCGTCAAGTACCTTATCCAAGGCACAGAAAGGTTATAGCCAGATTGAAAAAGAAGGACTAGCCATTATTTTTGGTATTAAACGATTTCATCAATATTTATACTCGAAAAAATTTACTTTAGTTACCGATTGTAAGGTGTTGTTAACTATATTTGGTAAAAATAAAGGTATTCCTCAAATGACAGCAAATCGTTTGCAACGATGGGCACTAATATTGTCAAGTTATAACTATGATTAAGAATACACAAAATCACAGAAAAATAATGCAGATTTTTTGTCCAGATTTCCTGTTAATAACGAGTTAATGGAAAATTTTAATTATTCGTATTTGAATTATGTTGAAAATAACGTAGATTTACCGGTTGATTGTGAATCGATTAGAAATGAAACGGAAAATGAAACATTACTTAAGGAGGTAAAGCAATATATTAAAAACGGGTGGCCTGTGAGAGTATCTGGGGATGTCAAACTGTATGCCAAATTTAAAAACAATTTAAGCCTTGAGAATGACATAATTACGTTTGGATATAGAGTGTTAATACCTCAGAATCTCCGAAAACAAATTTTAAAGGAATTACATAGCACACATCAGGGTGCTGTGAAAATGAAAAGTGTAGCTAGGTCCTATGTATGGTGGCCCCAAATGAATAGCGACATTGAAAAATTAGTTAAAAGTTGTACATTTTGTTTACCTAATAAAAGTACACCCCCGAAAGCTTCTTTAATAACATGGCCATTTCCTGAACAGTGTTGGGAAAGATTACATGTCGATTTTTTAGGCCCATTGTTAGGTAAATATATTTTAGTAGTGGTAGATGCATATAGCAAGTGGGTGGAAGCTTTTGTCACTAATAACATGACTTCTGTGACAATCATAAATGTTTTACGCAATATTTTTGCAAGATTTGGACTATGTAAATATTTAGTGGCGGATAACGCCAGATATTTTACATCTGATGAGTTTCAGCTTTATTTAAGGGAAAATGGTATAAAATTCAAAAACATACCTCCATTTTCGCCAGCAACTAATGGTGCGGCAGAAATTGTGGTAAAATATTTAAAAAATGCAATTAAATCTTGCAACGTTCGGAATCCAATAGACTTACCGATAATCTTAAATAAAATATTATTAAATTACCGTAACACCATACATGCAACTACAAGTTATTCGCCAGCACAATTGTTGTTAGGTAGAAATTTAAGAACTAGATTAGATTTAATTAAGGAAAATAATGAACCAGTTAAAGTAGATTTAGATAAATTAAAGAAAAATGTTAGTGTAAATCAAAGTAAACAGAAAAAATTTTATCATGGTAAAAGAATTACATCATTTAGTGTAGGAGATAGCGTAGCTGTAAGAGATTATAGGGATGTAAATAAAAAAAATTGGATTTCGGGAGTAATTAGAAGCAAGTTAGGGCCTAGAACTTATATAGTGTTTATACCTAAGTTGTCTAAGGTGTGGAAAAGACATTTAAACCAAATTATACAATATAATTCCGATAATTTGAATACACATCTTATGACTGAAAACATTCATGGTACAAACTCGGACAAGTTAACAATAATACCTAGTAATCCAGTAGAACATCAAATAATAGATGATATTTTGCCTAATATTGAATCAAGACCAAGACGAGTAATTAAACAACCAGACAGATTTGTACCATGAACGTTTTATTTATTTAAGGGGGAGAGAATGTTAGTGTGTGTATCACTTTATATTGTGTGTGTGTGTCTTTAGGTTTTTAAGGTGTACATAGTTTTTGTAGATATAGAAAAAGTGTGGTAGAGACAGAAAGAAAATCCACGCAGGATAGAATTTAAGCGGACAGTGATCGTTGTTAGATATATATTGTATAGAAGACTTGAAAGAATAAAGGTGTTACAATCTCAGTTGTAATTTATTCGGTTCATATACATTACAATTATATATCAATGTATTCGCAATGGTTCCTGCTAGTGAGTGAGATAAATTTCAATGCTCATGAGAACAGAAGAATAATTTAAATAAATGCTAAAGTACCTCAATTTTAACCATACTGTTAGTCTATCAATATATTGCAGTTTCGACGGAACTAGGTCAGGCACAATAACCAAACTACTTCACTCACTAGAACAGACACCTAGGATCATTTGTATTTAATTTTTAGATTAATATTTATTAATAATTCTATAATTTGTGTCCTCAAGTAAAATGACAACATTTTACACACGACTCCATTTTTATTATATATTTAAACCAGAATTGACGAGATTCCTATCTGCAGATATTTCTAACAATTTTAACTATAATTAGTTTGTATACTCTCTCACAGGTGTCGCTACCCTTGAAAATGAAAGTGAAAACACAGAGTTGGTTTATTATAAATGCGTCCTAAAATAAAGCATAATGGTTTAATATTATCTTTGATATACCTAGTAGTACTAAGTAGTAAGTAATGATTTTGTAAAGCATAAATAGTACGAAAATATAACGCATAAAAAACCAATAATATGTACTAATTTTT